AAGTGATAGCGATCGTCTATTTTCGTTGATATTGCCGCAGGCCGGGAGATGCTGAGAGAAGCGTCACGAATGCAGGACTGCTAGGGTCTCGAGATGCAAAAATACGGGTGGTAGGGTATTCCAGATCGGTAGGTACTCTCATTGTATAGTGAATTGCTGACGACCTCAGGAAACGGTCAGGGCCTGGGACCTGGGCGTCGCCGTGTTCGCCTCGACGACGATTGTAGCGTCCAGAATTGTGGAGAATATTGCGAATATTATCGAGCCATGGCGACTATCATCGACGACGAGGACGAGGTAGACGGCCAAATCGGGCGGGTAGCAAGTGGACCAGCGACTGCGGACTGCTTTCATTCTTGAAGCTGCCCCAACAAGCAACTACCCGTGGGCCCAACCTGGCCAAACAATCTTCACCTCTCAATCCCAGTTAGATGGATCTTGCTGAGCGCATTACAGCTCTTCAGCGCAAGAAAGCATCGTATGTACAATCACCCACAATCTACGTACTAGACTCCTAGTGGCTAATGCACCTTCTGCTTCTTTTGTTTTCGCCCATGCAAAACGTCCAATCGATCCAGTGCTGAATCTGCTCCTCGAACGCGCGGACTCGTAGCCATTCCCGCAACTTCACCCCGTGCTGAGCGACCTACTGCGGTTGGTTTGAATGAATCGACAAGCTCCGCAGACCGTGCTATAAGACGGCCGCAAGAGACATCCCCCAGGCGTGCTACTCCCTCAAACCATCAACAAGAACCCAGAACAAAACACTTGTTCGATCCGAATAGCGATCCCATCCCCAAGAGACCGCGCCAAATTCCGGAATCGTCCATGACATCCCCGACCCACTCCCAACCACCCTCTAGGCAGCTATTTGACCACAGAAGAGATGATCCCATGCGCTTTGCTGTCCTCAACAACCACGCTCACCGAGAGAAACAAGCCCCATCGTCAATACAGTCGTCGTCGGTCATGGACCACTCGTCCATATCCTCGTATGCGTCCTCAACATGGACCCTCACCTCAAGTACAGGCACTTCTCAGTCATCAGCGCCCCCAGAGCAGGCGACAGACAAGGATGGAAGCAGCAAGTTTGTCTCCATGCTCAAGAGAATATACCGCGAAATCTCAGAGTACGAGAAAAAGATTAAAGAGTGGGACAATCACGAAGACGGACAAATCCCCTCTGCTGCCATCACCATGCTCAAACCAGGCACCTCTCTTGCCAGCGTCGAAGAGAGCGAGAACTCGGATCCGTTGCGAATGCTCGTGGCGCAGCACAAGCAGCTCGCCGAGCTCTATCACAGTATGATCACTATGATCCTCCAACCAGTCCCAGCGTCAATGTTGTCTTTTGTCAAAAAGTACAGTCTCCCCAGCCGTCTGTGGATGAACGGCATCACCCATTGCATCGAGTGCCTACGGCGCATGAGCAGCAAGCTCCCCGGCGCAGCCGAACACATGACTGGGTATATCCTCTGGTCATACCACTTTTACGAATCGCTCTACGAGACAAGTACAATGAACGAGTTTATGGCGCCCTACAAGGTCAACTGGATCGAAGCGCTCGGCGATCTGGCACGATACCACATGCATGTATCCGCGAGGCAATCATCGCAGGAGATGGTAGACAACGCAATAGTGCCCTTGACAGAAGAAGCCCTGCCCCCTCCTGCGCCTGCCATGCCGCGCGCAGACGACACGCCACCTCCTTCTATCGGCATCGCCGCAGCTAACGCCTTTGATCTCGAACCGGAATCCGAAGTCTGGAGAAAGGCCTCCCAAACATGGTACGCCATGGTCCTCAAAGAGACTCCCGGTGCTGGTAAACTACACCACAATATGGGCCTGCTGAACTCGGAGATCAGCAACGAAGAACTGCGAGGTGTTTATCACTTTGTCAAAAGGTGCGAACCCCTATATTTGAATACAACGAAGCGCCCGTACTCATCATCTTTTTTTTTTTTTTGCATTCCGCAGCATGACCGCGACCCACCCCTACCCGACATCCCGTGAAGCCATCCTCTCCCTCTTCTCCAAACCTGCTCAACAACGGCGAAACCTGGCCGACTCGAAAGCGCCCGAGCTCTTCGTGCGACTGCACGGCATGCTGTTTACAAATATTCAACTGGATGATTTCCAACCTACTCTCGCTCGCTTCCTAGAGCGATTGCAGCTCGATGGTGCTCAAGAAAGAGAATGGATCATGATGGCCGCCATCAATATCGCAGCCGTGCTGCAGTATGGCAAGGAGGACGGGATGATCAAAATCGTCACAGGCGATGCTTCAGTAGAGGGCCGAAAAAAGGAGCTAGTCCAAAAGATGGATAGCCTCGCCATGAACGATACTTCCACCTTTTCACCCTCCGGCATGGACGTAGATTCTCCAATGAACGACGAGGCTATGGTCGTCGACACACCCATCCCCTTGCAACTAGCACTCAAACTCACCTTCTCAATGCTCTCCTTCTGTCTTCGCCACCCCCTCCGCCGATCATCAGCATTTGCTCGACCGACTCTCAATCCCTACATCACCGCTCTCCTCACCTTTGTCTTCACAGTCCTCAAGCAGCCCGGTACGCTTGCCATCATCGAGCGGTCGTTCCCCTGGGATGACCTCGTCAACTTTTTGTCCGAGGTACCCCGACGCATGCTACAAAAGGAGCTAGAAGCTCGCGCCAAACTGACCGGTGGTTGCGCACCTCTCCCTGAGGACTGGTGTATGCGTGGTATGGCATGGACAATTCGACGTGTCTACGAGCATGGTTTCTGGACGCGTGGAGCCAGTGCTGCCAATGCCATCTCGAGTGAGATGGACGTTTTGTCTGTGGATGAAGGTATAGAACAAGACACGGATGGTATCATTGAGACGGAGGAGCGTGGGGAGGATACGGGTCCCAAAGATTACACTGGACGACGCTGGGTCAGGATCATCAGAAGTTGTGTCGGGCTCTTGCAGACTGTCCCTGGCTTTGAGCTTGGTCATGGCGAAACGGGACCTGAATGGCGACTTGGTGATGCCATGCGACGAAAGGCAGAGATGTGGAAGGAGGAAGAACGGCAAGAGAAAGAGGAAGAGGACCGTAGAAGGCATCGCTTATGGGAAGATGATGACATTGATCAGGATATGGAAGTGGATTCTGATGAAGAGGAGGAGTTGGATGATGATCCTGTGGTCCAAGCTCTACAGGTAATGTTTTCTCTCAGGGGTCTTTCGTGAATATCACTGACGTGTCGTTCGATGATAGGAGAGACGCCGGTACCTACGGAATCTTCAAAAAGGCCGATCATCGCAATCCATGTCTCGTCCGGGTCACCAGTCGCGGCTTTCGGCTCCTTCTCGCGCAGCATTGAACGTTCGTCCAGGCTACACCGTTCTCGTTGTCGACACAAACATACTCCTGTCCGCCCTCCACACCATCGCATCCCTCATTGAAAGTAACCGGTGGACGATCCTCATCCCCTTGGCTGTCATCACCGAATTGGACGGTATATCGGCCAATCAATCCGAGCTCGGGGATGCAGCTGCGGCAGCTTTCAAATACATTTCAGAACACATGCGATCCCATTCTACGTCCCTCAAAGTACAAACTTCCCGTGGCAACTACCTCAATACCCTCAACGTCCGCAGCGAAAACTTTGACTTTAATTCGAGAGGTGGTGACTATGATGACGGCAGCGGCCACCATTGGGAGAGAAATCTGGATGACCTCATCCTCCGGGCAGCATTGTGGCAAGAGGCGCATTGGGTCGACCGCAGTGGACTTCTCAAGGGAGGCATCACTGCGGCGAACCAGCAAAGCAACGGGTTGAATGAGGTCGCCAAGGTTGTATTACTCAGCTTTGATCGCAACCTGCGATTGAAAGCACGGGCTCGTCATATGCATGCTGGCGACGAGCGTGATTTGGCCAACATTGTTCGTGTTGGCTCGTAACAAGAAGTCTGCCGAAACCCCTCACTTTCCTTAACTCACCGGATTTTTTTCTTTTTTCTCTTCTCGCTTTATCGTGTTTGGACAATCATAGGATGCACATGCCTCCAGCCACTCCTTTTAATCAACGAGATACATCTATACTCTGGTCCGTTCGTGGTTGTGCAAAGTATGCTTTCACATAGTTGCACAAGAAGGGATCGTTTTATAGGAGCCTGTATCCTTATTCAACTTTCCAGTACTCTCCTTGTTGTGTTCTTTTCTCGTAATTGTACCTGTAATCTCATCTATACCGATTTCATTGTCAATCAAACAAAGGAAGTAACTCCCTTGAATCTCCTTTAGAAGACCGTTATTGAAAAATGTGTATTCATAGTGAGTAACAATAAGGGGATAGGCAGCTTATTATAACAGTAGGTCAAACATTAGACAGCGTGTTTAGTGAGAAGCGTTGGATACTCCATATACAAGAAAATGATCCGGATCCGTATCAGATGACGGGCTGTGGTCACAATTGTCGCTTAAGCGTCTTCACGAAATCGAGAGTTTGTTTCGGCATGATACGTATTTCCGTTCCCTTCGACATCGTGCGTCGTGGTAGGTTGATCGATCACGATACGATCTGCCTCTCCGCCTGGAGTTGGAGAGGCAGGAGGCATGCGCGGCTGACGCCCTTCAGGTGCCTTTTCGAGTTGTCTCTTTGATGGGCGACGCGTTACATCCGCCGCATTTGTATTGGCAGGAGGAGCATCATCGCCAACCGTCACCTCTTCTTGACCGTATCCGCCAGGAGGGGTGTAACGTTTCTTTTCCAACTACAATACTCCTGGTCAGCAAAAAGAAAGCTGTTTGATGCTAAAGAGAGGCTTACAGCGAATCCATTGGGACCAATCTCAATTCCTGAGCCTCGCTTAGTTGCCACAGGCTGCTGGTAGCCATTCTGGCTGTATGCAGGTACAGCTTCGTCGTGAAGACTGTATCTTCTTGTGACAAAGGTACCACCATCACCTTCCCGTTCACGGCTGTGCTCGTCATGTGGTTCCTCTTCGACAGACGAACCATCCTGACTCACTTCTTCCATATCTTCGCTCGTATATCCCGCGGCTCTGACAGCAGCCTCCACTGGTCCACTCCTATCCATGGATTCGCTAGCAATGAGGTAGCGGGCGACCAGCATCCTGCAGTCATGCCACCATTCCATCATTTCTTCGTGGCTTCGAGCACGGAAGGAGTAAGCATGACTACTTTTTCCTCCAAGTTTAGCGGGTAGTATGCTATTTCTTCGGCTTCCTTCTGCATCGCTCTTGCCTTCCAAGGTGAATTTATGAGACCGAGAGCGTTGGGTAGAAGGTGGGCCAAGCGTGCAAAGTGGAAGGAACACAGAGAATGTAGGTGAGGCGCGAGTGGCGGGGTCGGATGATGGGTACTCATGCAACCACCCCGAAGGGGTGAGGACGTAGTATCCCTCCCCCCAAATTCGACTCCATTTCTTCTTCCTTTCCAACATTCCAACGTGCACAGCTACCACGCTGGCATCATTCTTGAAAGGATATTCGATGGTAGTTGGCTTACGAAGAGGTGTCTCGGGATCAAGAAGATGATCCGTTCGTGCAGCGAATTCTATCCATTCGCGATCCGGAGAAAGAGAAGCCATAGACTCTGCGACAATGCGCCATGTGTCTTGAACGGTGGATGACATTCTGGATTGCCACTCATCAAAAGTTTGCCAGGTCGATTGGATACTTCGGACGATGCCTTCTTCGAAATGGGCCGAGGATTGTTGCATGATGACGATGCTCTTCTGCAGGGCATTCTCTTCGAGCACTTGCTTCTGGAGCTGTTTGGCAACGAGTATATTTTGAACATATGGATCGTCCTTTGCCGTGACAGCCATGGGTGTATTCTTGAACAGCGCAATGGCGCGAGCAAGCTCGGCAATTTGCTTGGTACTATTCTCCCTTTCTTTTGCAACAGAAGTGGCAAGTCGACCTGTATCTCGCTCGACATTTCGTATGTGACCTTTGATTTCGGCGCGCAGTTTCTCGAGATGCTGGACGATAGAGGAGTCGATGGTACGACCTAAATTGGCATGCGCATCTGCAATAGTTCGCGTCTTGTCTCGTACGTTATAGAATATGTCCTAGTGCAATAAAGCAGAAAAATGTCAAAACATTGTTGGAAGAGGAACCGGGCCATGCCAAAGAGCAGATGGAACCACATGTTTTGTCTGCGTTAGCGGCACACTATCGGCAAATGGAGGGCACGATAATAAACAAATCAATATTCCACTAACCTGGAGGCCACCTTCACCCAAGAATTGATTACCCGCTCGAAACGGGACCTGTATCACGCCTCCAAGCTTGGTCAACTCTCTAGCAATGTTATTCTCAATATCTGCAATGCCTTGAAAGTAGGCTAAATTGTATATATTAGCAAATAATTTCGTATACTGGCGATATAGTGGCATTATACATGGGATGAAAGAGTTGCTCACCGATAAGCTGCTTGACAATTGCTTTCCAAGCCACAAATCTTTCAATTATCACGTCCGAAGGTCGCAAGTCGTGAGGTGCAATGTTCTTCTTGATCAACGTCCCCGAGCGAGACAACGTACTCCGCCGGGACACGCTGGTTGTGCGTGAAACAGCATCAGGATCACGGTTTGCATCACGCATAACAAATGCCATCTTTTCCGATGTACTTTTGCCGGACTTGTGGTCGAGGCAGAGTGTCCCTTGGTCTGTGTGCACTGAAAAGTTTGAAGTGGACAGGTCGAAGCTGGATGACGTTGAGTTCAAAAGTGGCCTGATGATTTACCTTCTTTGTTTTGTATTATAAACCCGAGAATAATTTTGAATTCGATTCTAACTAATTCTTAGCTGTCTTTTTCGGTCATGGAGAGGTGAAATAGTTTACTGGCTGCTTCTCGCTAACAGTACCCTTGAACCACCATTTATGTAGCATGGAAACAATAATGAAATAAGTTCAAGAATAAAATTATTATGTAGTTTCGGCGGAAAATTCGGTTCTTCTCAAACCTGCCGCATTGGCTCTCACCGGATCTCAACTCAGACCCGACCCCATCCAGCCACCCATGTCAGGACCTAAGGAAAAGGCTTATACACTCTGGTGTGCCTTCGAGGATAACCCGCAGACTCCGTTTTCTGTTAAAGTACCACCATCACTATCCATGGACATGTTGAAAGTGGCTATTATCAAAGACGTCAACTTGACGGGTATCAATCGAACTAGAATGACGTTGTATCCCATCAAACTTCCCAATAATCCTGATTTGGCTAAGAATGTACAAAAATATATGTCAACGAACCCGGAACCATCCTGGCCCGCAACAGAGTTGCACGAAATCTACCCCTCCACCCCTCCAACAAAGACGGTGCACTTCATTGTTGGACTTCCTTCAAGTAAATATTTTGTTCAATTTGTAGTTCTCCAAGCCACTAACTTACTGCGGGAGTTCCCGCTGCTGCAGCAGACGTCGAGAGCCTTGTCCAAACACCTAGATCCGGAAAACCGCCACTTTTAAATATCACTCCACCGAAGCAAATGTATATGAATATCGATAAGGTTCGAGAATCGATGAACCAGTCCGCCCAGACCCTTGGCCAAACGATTCGTGAATTGATCACCCAACCGCGCTCAACAACGTGGTATCCGCCAGGTATCATTACTCCAGAGGTTCTACAATTTTATAAGAATCTCGATATACCCTCTATAAGGGGCAAACCGAATTTACTCCTACATAATCTTGGCAAAGTACCAAATAAGTTCGTAGACAACCTACTCGAAGGGTTGGATCACAGGTAAGCATCTTCACCCCAAGTCGTTTGGACAAAATTAACCTAGCCCTAGAATCCTTTGTAATGTTTCCGGCTCTGGGAAGACCCGGTTGCTCCTGGAGACCCTTTGTCATCATTGGGGCTTCTACTTTGTAGTAGCTCGGGGTTATGATCGCATTGGTTCTCCAGATCTTCAGGCGACCATAGATTCAATGGAATTTACTCCGAATTGGAATTACGATGTGTTCAAGAATTCTCCTTCCGTACCCCCTTCGACCACTGACATCCAGAACGCGAGCTCATCTAACGGATCAATCGCTTTCCATAGACTCTCAAGAATGATGCTATCGCGCCGTTTCGTCTTTGACACGTTCATCAAAGTTGTCAAGGAGGTCTACAATGGAGTCATACCCGACACCGCGAAGCTCGACTGGCTACTTTTACAAATCCTTCCAGATAGATTTCCACTCGGGCAAGATCCATTCACATCGATAATCAATGATTGCCTGATTGGAGTGACTCAGGAGGTTCTAGCACAGCTGCACAATGAACTTGAACCTGGACGCATTCTAGGCCTTGATCAAAATAAACCATTCCTCCTAGTGATTGACGAGATTCAAGTAGCTGGTGAACGATACAAGACTTCGTTTTCCGATGCCAGTGGCAAGAAGCCAAGGCCAGTCCTGCGGCCGATTGTTCAGTACCTCTCCGAGACGACCCTCAACGGTAGAGTGATCGTTTCCGGTACTGGATTCTCTCTTGAAAACTTCAAGACTGTGGTTACCTCCGGAGTAGGGAAAGAACCTTTGCCTTGGAGTGTAGTATATAAAACTGGAGACTTTGACGTTCGAGAAACGCAGATGGACTACGTTTCTGCATATTTGCCTTCCAATTTTTTGTCCTCACCTTCGGGTTGTCACCTCAAAGCTCGTATGTATGAATGGCTTCGTGGAAGGTACGCTATAGAACACCGCAAAGCGTCAGCTTATCTTTTGCTTCAGGCATCGGTTTACGGCTCGCTACCTAGAAGAGTTAATCGGAAGAACATGGAAGGAATCTTGTCCTGCTTATCCGCACAAGTTATTCGATGCATACGTTTATGCGTATACGGATTTCAAACCGCTTGATGGCGACACCGCCATCTCGAAGGAGGAGGATGACGTAGATTTCGATGTAGCCCCAATCAAGATTGATAGCTTCCTCTGGAACAAAATTGATGAGGGTAAGCTGTGGTGTCAATTTAGCGTAGTAATTGGCTGACGACTGGCTAGATCAAAAGTTATTAGAAGTCCTCGTTCAATCGATGGGTGAATTCACTACTAAAGGAAAACGACCTGGGTGGTATGATACTTGTCAGCAACTTGTGGAATACGGGCTGGCTCGCTTCATCGGAAAGAACATCAAGATTGGAGAGCCATTGCCACTCGTCAGCCTCATGCGTCACTTTGAGTCCAAGAACTTACCCATCTCAAAATCCGTTTGGGCACGTCTCCAAACCGACAAGGGAAAAGCATTTGAGGAGATTGTCCTTTTAACAATAACCCGACTCTTTCAAAATGGCCCAAAATTGTCTGATGTTTTCCGTTTCCACGATCCGATACCAGATTGGGCCGGTTGCACCGTGACAATCGTGGCTCAGGGCCCTTCAGGCAATTTCCACAAGTTTAATTTAGTCGATAACCCCATTCT